TGAAATGAAAAATCAGCAAAAATGAAACTGGCGGCCGATGCCTCGGAGAGACCATGACATTTTTTATAGTCATGAGTTTATCCTGGGTCTTGGCTATTCCGGAGCATGAGGAAGGGAAATTGGCAACACACTAGGAGGAACTAGGACAGCTGCACAGTCGCCTGGGTCGCAATGTCTAAAGGGATATTGTAAGCTTGGAATTAAACAGGCCAGACCTAGTATCTTGATGAGCTGGTGTGGTGGAATCCAGCATCAATTTATAGTGTGAAAGAAAGAAATTACCTGACCAATAGGGGGCATCTTCTTTCCTTTAACAAGAAAGATCACCCATTCCATTTCATTGACATTGTCTTGGCTGATATGAATCTTAGCAATAAATCTCGAGTATAAAACCAGTAACTATATTGAATGTTGGATATTATCCTCCATTTTCTATTATAACTGTCATTTCCAGATCTGTCCATGCATTAAAATCATTTGCGGAATATTTCGAAAAACATTCCTTAAACCCAACCTCTGATACTATACCAGAATTTTCAGCAATAAGGATATTATAAATATATCTAGAAAAACAGACAAAAATATACAGTGTAATTAAAGTCCTCAAGTGATTCTTAAGCCGAGCACTTTTTTAAAAGTCAAAGTTGGTAAGCTTTATGGTCTTGATATATTATTTCCACTTTTAATAGTTTTCTTGAAACCATCTCAAATGTAAGCTGCCTGAAGTTCGTGGTGAAAATAGATTGGGTACAAATGAAGGTTGAGGGAAGAGGCTAGAAGACAATAGGACAGATGAAATAGAGAGAGTGACCTAGAGACACAACAAAACATGTTAGAGTAAGTAGTTTAATCTAACTTCAGGATCTTGGAACATCGAAGACTCTCTAACCTTTGGAGAGAGGCTTCTCTTACTCATCCAACGAATGAAGTCAGAGGCAGCTTCTCTGGGGATTGTGTGAGAAGTTCAGAACCTCTTAATAATTCTTTTTTACTCCCTTTTTTACTCCCTTTTTCCATATATTGGTCCCCAGGACATCCTTTAAAAAGGAAGGCTGTTCATTCCTTTTTGTGGAGGTGGACAGACCACCAAGAAAGAGTCTAAAGAGAAAGATTAGATTGAGCACCAAGAAGAAGTTGGGCCATGTGACTGCATCCCATAGCCAGGCCCTGGGGAGATAAAGGAACAAAGTACTGAGCAACAGTGCATACGAACCAGGCTGGGTTATTTTAGGTCAGTCTTGTCTTTCCTGGCTCATAGGGATGGGGTGTTGTTAATGAGAGACAAGAGCTCACATTGGCAGCTGACTGGCTTTGATTTAATTACATAGTGAGATAGTTTCTTAAGAGCATACAACACAATCCTTTCTCCTAAACGTAGGTTTAATTTTCAACAAAACACTTCTCCCATAAACAACATGTCATTTCTAAACTCTTATTGCCATTCCCAGAACTGCTTGTAGCCTTTCAGAAACCCATTATTTTATAATTATAATCAAGACTATTAGAACCAGACAATTTGTGCCAAAAGTCCATTTACACGCAGAATTGTCACTTAGTATTGTCACAGGGAGGTATCATCTCTATTTCTGCAGAATACAAGGAGAGTAGCAGACACTGCCTTTTAAACTTTCAATTTCTAAATGGCATGGGAGTTACTGACCTTGTCTACATTATTCCCCAGTCACTTCTCTGACTACCCCTATAGAAGAGCTCTGGACACCACGGCAGCTGTTGTTACAGGATGGAAAGAATGCAGTCCTGGGAATCGGGCCAACTTGGCTTCACACCCTAATTCTCTCCTTTCCAATTGGGCAATTCACTCTTTGCACCTCAGTTTTTTCACCTGAGAAATGGCGCCGCTACCAATACTTGTCATTTACTTTTAATAATTAAATAAATTGATAGATTAGAACAGTAACAGGCATGTGCCACAGGCTTAGCAAATATTATTATTGTGATTAATACATATAAACTGTGTGACCTTGGACAAGTTACTCATCTTTTCTGGGCATTCATTCCCCCATCGTTAACGTGAAGAGAGCGGCGCCTAACTCACAGGGTAATGGCAGCAATCAGATGAGCACACGTGATGCTCAATAAATTTGGCTACTTTTGATCACCCATTTATTTCACAGTTTTCACTTTGAGTTGGAAAACTTGATCTCCATAATGGAACCCAGAGTATATGATTTTATTCCAACCATCTGAAGAGCCTTTAGCTTTTGAAACTTCCTCCATAATGTCCGTGTTCAAACACAGGTCTGCAATTCCCTTCAGGGAGTCAGATTGACTAAAGAAATGATACAGCAACTGAAGTATGTTGTTTGCAGGAAGGCCATCTCTACCGAGTATGATTTGTCCATTGTTAAAAACTTTAATCACATGTATCTTTGATTTACTTTTGCCCAGGCTCTTATGGCTACAATGATAATATCAATAAGTATCAATAGTAAAAATTCCCTTTGGTTAATATCAATCGAATGGTGGAGGAAGTGATTGAGAAAATCCATATAGACCACAATAGGAATAAGAGACAGCTGTGGAAGTCAAGAGCCCCAGCACTACAGTGGTTTGGGGGCTTGAAGGGGCTTGTCTGGAAAGCATGGAGGACAACATTCCCTATAGAGATGCTTCTTCATTAACTCATCAATTCTTCAAATAAATAGAGGTTGACTACCTGCTATGTGTGGGCCACTGAGCTCAGGGCTGGAGAAGCAAAAGATGAACGGACATGCTCTCTGCCCTCACGGAGCTCTGTCATTCTGGTGAAGACTCTTGTGAGCTTACATAAGACATGCTAGGAACATGTTGGTGATTTTGAGAAAGGTCATATAATCCAGAAGGAGGCCGAGGTTCCGACAATACCATAGGTGAAGGCTGAGTCAGAAAGAAACTGTGTATTTAAGTTACAGTCCTCCTGTGGTCCCACAGGTTGGGAAAACAGCAATTGCTAAAACGCTGATATTGAAAAGACAGCACTCAATATTTCTCCTTGTGCCTTTTTTATAAAGCCCCAGAGGATTATTCACTCATACAAATCATGTTCCTTGGACTGAACATATATTATTTTAAATACTCAGTTTCCTAATGGGTAATATTGCTATTGCCCATCTCATAGGCATGGTGTGGGAATTTAAATTAGATGTCATACATAAAGGAGAATGAGAGAATAGAGCCTAAAAATAGCCGTGAAAGATAACTATTATAAAGGAAGTCCTTTCCCCCCTTCTGCAAAGTAACTATTATGCCAAGAACACCCTTCTCTCACAAAAATGCATAAAACCTTCTGTCTCACTTTCCACTGAACGCTTTTGCTTCATGCTTAAAGCTGCAAAATGAGAAGTGAAACCATGGCAGTTCTTTGTGTGGCTAACACTAGTCAAGGGTTTTTCACTGAGACCGTGAATCATCAGGCGAATACATATGCATACGTATTATATATACCAAGTGATTTATTTACAACACATTTCTTTCCATGAAGGACGTGAGGGAGATTCAAAGATAGCATACATGAACAATAAGTTTAATCAATTAGAACTAGAAAATCTGGACAAAAAACAAAAACAGGAGAAAAAGACACTAAGAATAAACTGTAGCATAGTGTTTTTCTGTCCTAACTCCAGAGAGAACCCCTAGTGTTTTGGATAGTGGGACTTTTAGAGAGAGCCAAAACTCACATTCACTACTTCCCATACGTACCTTGGGATTCACTTCTCTGCGAGTCTAGTTAACTCAGTTATAAAACAACAGTAGACTATTACTCTGTAAAGCTGTTGTAAGTTATTTTCCACATGTCCTCATTGCTTTCTTTGAATGCATCATTCTTGGAGAAACTGGGTGAGTGTTTTTTTGTTTTCTGCAAACTCCCCTAACCATGACCTACATTAATCTCAGGAACATTATTTCCTCAGTGATAACATCTACTCTTTTTAAAATGTGGTCATGGAGTCATACCCAGCAAGAAGCAGTGATGGGTGCTCCATATCTTGAATCATTTTACAGTCCCCCAAGGAATTCAGTGTGCCATCAAACTACACTCATCTGATGCAGAAGAAGCCTTTGCTGCAACTCCTGTCACGTGGATGCCCCAGCTTTATCAGCCCATACATTTCCCCGATCATCAAAAAGAGCTGACCTCTTGAGGTCATCCCACTTCTTGCTATTCCTCTAGGCCAGATTTTTCACTATGAGACCAAGAAGTTGAACTCCTCTCCCGATTACAATTAGTGCCACTTTCAACCGAATTATTAATGCTACCGTTATGACAGTCATAACTTCATAGGTAATAAATTTAGAATGGCATCAAGTGACAAAGTGACGGAGTGTATTTTACATATTTGCTTGAAAGATAGTGGTTAAATATGGATATTTCCAGCATGTCTCTAAGAACCTTATTTATGATAAAGGTTTATAGAGGAGATGTGCAAAATGAGAAACGGATTTATTAAAACAAAAATATATCAGAGACTATTAGTTAATAAATAGACATGCTAAGGCATGGCCAGGATGTTTGTAAATAAGTGTTAATCAAGTTTCCTTCGGAATTCGTTGCAAAATTTTAATTTTGATAAGGAAACTGACTTAAAGTGGAGGGAAGATCCGAATCAGGAGCCTCTGAGTCACAAGTAGAATTTTAATTGTATTCAATATAAAAGAGAAAAGTAAACAAAGACCCAATGAAGTTGAAACTTCCATACCTGCTTTGTTTTAAGATGACTAAAATGTAAAATATGAGGTGCTTTCCATTCAAAAGGATCAGGAGAACTAGCACCTTTTCTGATCTCACTGGGGCCAGTCTATTAGTTATAATTCAATTTTATGGGATGAAAGTTGAGTTGACTTTCCCTCTCCCAGACTCCTTAGCTGAGTTGGTTGAAACATCCACCTGGAGGTTCTGTGTTTTAGCACGGTATTTATTACCTCTGCATTGTAAACTCCATGAGATCAGCTGCCCTGTGTATCTTGTGTACCACTGAATCATGTTCCCTTAACACAATGCCTGCAGTGTTGCAACATTTAATACTTGTTAACTGAACAAGTAATGAATCCAGCTGCACAAGAAGCACCTCAGGAGTTTTTTCTCCTCAGATAGTGATTGCTGCTTCATGCTGGCTGCTTTCTGCATCTGCTGCTCCTTCTGGACTCCACAGTTTGCCATCTAGCAAGGCTTTTCTGAGTCGTCTCCAGAAGATGTGCCGCCCGAGGACACTGTCCTCCCACTCCAGG